TTGCTAAACTGAATGTTCAAAGTTAGCTGATATGTCATCAAAATAAAAAACAACACTGAAATAAGAGCTTGTGGTTTATCTGTCAATCAGATGCACATAAAAGTTTCATTATACAGCAACAGTAGAATTTCTTTCAGAATTATCCTAGGTCCAATTCAATTAATATTAAAATAAAGTTATGTGTGATTAAGACAAATAAAGTTATGCGTGATTAATTATATGAAATATAATATAATATATAAATATAAACTTATATGACATTCTTCAAAAATATCATTCCTTTCTGTAGTTGGGCATTTTAATAAGGATCAAATGAGTGAGTTCAGCTTTGAGAATGAAAACCAACCTGTTTGTTCCTCAGTATCTTCATGTTTGACTCTGAATGTTTCTTCACTCTTCATATCTTCATTCTCCTCTTTAATATACGCCATCTTTGTTTGTTCCTCAGTATCTTCATGTTTGACTCTGAATGTTTCTTCAGTCTTCATGTCTCCACTCTCCTCTTTAATAAACGCCATCTTTGTTTGTTCCTTTATAACAGTGTGTCACGTGGCTCTGTTAGAGATGAATCACAGATTCCTCAAGTTATCAATAACACAGATCTTCTGTCTTATATAAGCAAGTGTTAAGTGCTCTCAATTCGCTATTAAACAGCACTATGTAACTTTTGGCGCTTTAGCGGTTAATAAACAGAACTGCACACATCCCGCGGAAGAACATTATAACCGGAGCTACTTCTCTAAGTTTATGTCTATGGCGATTCACGCAGGTATGTGTTACTCCGCAGCGGCGACGACCCGAACAGGCTACAATAGTCCAAATATAAGTACTTATTATAAGTGTACCATAGTGATTCGGAATAAGACAACAACGCGGTTTGGAAGATGAATTCATGATGTACTCGCTCAGTATATACATTTTGCAAATTTTTAACTCAGAAAAAGTTACATAGTGCTGCTATTTCTAGTTAAGTATCTTTATATGAGCTTTTTTTTCCAGAAGAAAGAAATATAGTTCACTGATTAAAGCTGTACATGTTCGGTTTCATCAACCAGCTAAAATATGATAGCATACTCAGGTGTTATTACTCATTTTCCATTGTTAGGAGTAAATTCAGTTTAGGTTCAGTTTCTAAATATAAGATGCATTAAGCAGTTTATTAGAAATACTTAAAGTATATACGTAAAAGTATATCCTTCACATGGTATTAAAAAGTACACATAAATGAGATTATATTAGTAAAGTTATAGTTGTGAGACAAAATACCTGCAATATCCAGTTAAGCCTGTAGTAAACTCAGAAGTGAAGATCAGGAGACTGAGTGAGTCTTCAGCAGGTTCTTGATTCAGATGGTACTGTGTGGTGCTGCAGTCATCAAGACTGACTAAAGCACTGACTGTAGTTTGTTTTATACTGATTTCAGGAGGCTGTTCTTACAGCTGAAGACAAAGCACTCAGATCATGAGCTTAAACACAGTATGCAAAGCATGTGAGCAGTTCTACTCCGCTCTAAAACAATCAGCAGAACTATAGCACTCATTATCAGAGAGATCAGGGAAACTCCAGATACATTCACACTTAATTCACATACTGATTAGCATGAGCAATGACAGCAATTAAAGAAATGAGGCATTAGCATCAAGAGAATCACAGCCAAAAGACTGATTTTACTTCTGTATTCACACACCAACAGCAAAAGAGATTCATTTCGAATTTAAACATCATTTATCTTTCTGCTGACTTTTTAGGCTGATTTAATTTTAACCAATATAATTGTGTCTTTTGCAGTAATTACACTGAACAAAATTATAAACGCAACACTTTTGTTTTTGCCCCCATTTTTCATGAGCTGAACTCGAAGATCTAAGACTTTTTCTATGTACACACAAGGCCTATTTCTCTCAAATATTGTTCACAAATCTGTCTAAATCTGTGTTAGTGAGCACTTCTCCTTTGCCGAGATAATCCATCCACCTCACAGGTGTGGCATATCAAGATGCTGATTAGACAGCATGATTATTGCACAGGTGTGCCTTAGGCTGGCCACAATAAAAGGCCACTCTAAAATGTGCTTTATACTGATTTCAGGAGGCCGTCTTTAGAAGATTAAGTATGCAAAGGATGTGAGCAGTTACAGGAATTTGCCCAGATTTTCAGCAGCTCTAATCCAATCAGCATAACTATAACACTCATTATCAGAGAGATCAGGGAAGGTCACACCTACAGACATCACATTCACACTTAACCCAAGTACTGATTAGCATCAAGAATGACGATCACTTAAAGTAATGGGACAGAAGCAGCAAGAGGCAATAAAGGTGACAGACTCACTTACCATTATTTTATATTTGTATTCACACACACCTAAAACAAGAGATTGATTTTAATATCTATATGCAATTTATCTTTCTGCTAACCTTCTAAGGATATGGTTTAATTTTGATCAAAATAATAGTGCCTTAATCGATGTGCATTTGTAAGAAAGTAAATATGTATTATTTGGAAGTATTTTCTAGAATACAAATATAAATTACATAAATTAACAGTGATTATATAAAGTATTCTTACAAAATTCTTTATGCATAAAGCTCAATTTATATTTTTGTATTTATATCAAACCACAGACAATTGGAGATTAATATTAGTTCAGTAATATTTATGAAAATTAAGAATGAAAGTTGAGATTATTGGAACATATTTATTAAATGTATTGATGTTTTATATTATTTTTATGATGCCACAATAAGTGATGTAAAATCATCAGAGTCAGGAGATTTCAGAATTTCATTCTGTACCTTTAAATGTTGTTTGTTTTTCTTTAAAGTCATTTCAGCTCTTAACAGCCTGTACACAGCGAAACAAAACAGCGTTCCTCCAGGACCATGGTGCTACATAAGACAGCACACGACAAGGACTACAAAACAAACTGTATTAACATAATTTAAGTTACATTAAAAAGCCTAAAATAAAGAGTCCAATAAGAACTGAAAAAGAAAAGCTGGAAAATAAGAACAAATGGAAGTAGAACATTTAAACACTGACTTCACAAGACCACTCAAAGAGGGTACATTAGCGGGAGAGCAGCATACGTGGTACACACATTTTTTAGAAGTGTGCAATATGCAAAGTACACTAGTTGTGTGGACATATTAATTTAAAATGGATGTATGTGTGTGGGTGTAGTCATTGTCCATTGTAGTTACAGTTCAGGAGTCCGATGGCTTGGGGAAAACAACGGTCCCACATTCTGGCCGCGAGGGCATGTATACTTCTGTACCTTCTGCCTGATGGCAGGAGGGTGAAGAGTTGGTACAAGGGGTGTGTGGGGTCATCCATGATACAGCGTGTGTCAGTGATGGAAGGAAAGAGACCCCAGGGATCTTCTCAGCTGTCCTCACTATCCGCTGCAGGGTCTTGTTATCTGAGGTGGTACAGTTTCTGAACCAAACAGTGATGCAGCTGCTGAGGATGTTTTCAATAGTCCCTCTGTAAAATGTGGTGAGTATGTGGTGTGGGAAAAGTGCTTTCTTCAGTCTTTCTAGAAAGTAGAGATGCCGCTGGGCTTTCTTTGTTATGTAGCTGGTGTTAAGAGACCAGGTGAGGTTCTCTGTCAGATGAACACCAAGGAATTTGGTGCTCTTGACAATCTCCACAGAGGAGCCATTGATGTACAGCATGTTCTTTTCTAAAGTCAACGACCATCTCTTTTGTTTTGTCCACGTTTAGAGACAGGTTGTTGACTTTGCACCAGCTTGATAGCCAATGCACCTCCTCTCTGTATGCCGACTCGTCTCCTTTGCTGATGAGACCCACCACAGTCATGTCGTCCACAAATTCAATGACGTGGTTCGAGCTGTGTATTTCTGCACAGGAGCGAGTCAGCAGAGTGAACCGCAATGGACTAAATACACAGCCCTGGGGGGCTCCTGTGCTCAGTGTGATGGTGCTGTTTCCTATCCAGACTGTCTGAGGCCTCTCAGAAAGGAAGTCCAGGATCCAGTTGCAGATGGAGGTCTTCAGGCCCAGCAGGCTCCGCTTTCCAATCAGTTGCTCCATGCCAAGTACCCAGTTCCATTCTCCTTAAAAAACAAAACCAAAAAAATATGTCAACACAGAATTAAACTTCAAAAAACAGGACTGTTACTTTTCACCCTGTACACACTATCTTTGAGAAATATCATCAGAAAAAAAAACTCTGCTCGCAATAAACTAGAATACTGTCTAACCCTTGATGGCTGCTCTGTAAAGTTTTGTATTTTATGGAGTGATGTGACCAAACTGGAAATGAATCCAAATTTTGGAGCCAAAAAAAGGCAAAACTCATGAGCAGAACAAACATGGGGGTGGACCAGTCAACACAGGGGTGTTATGCTATTTCAGGAATGCAAATCTTGACTGTTTGAAGGGCATCATGGATTCTTTGAAGTTTCAGGCCATTTTGTCAAGACTTGTGATGCCTTCAGTGCAGGGACTGAAGCTTGATGATCAATGGAATTTCCTGCAGGACAAAGTACACATCCTAATCTAACTATTCGTGGTTCTGGGATCAATCGAAGAATGTTCTTGAGTGGCCTGTTCATTTTCCAGATTTAAATCTCAGTGAAAATATTTGGTGGGATTTTAAAAAAAAAGAAGTGGCAATGTGAAAACCAAAAATTATCAGTGACTTTGAAGTTTTTTCAAGTGAGGAATGAGCCAAGATTGCAGTAGAGAGTCTCAGAAGCTTCTAAGCACCTACAGGCAGTGTTCATTGGAGGTTATAAAGGGTAAAAGATTAATTATATATTAGAGCTGATTAAAAAACACACATATACATATGTACACATATTCCCATGTATCAAATAAAAATAATAAATATAAAAAATAATAAATCCATAAACATAAAATTTATGTAATTCAAATAATCTGATTTTATTATTATTAATTAATATTTATAAAATAATATTTGCCTGGAGTTAACTTCAACTTTTGAAAAGATGTTGTGTCTTAATGAATTTGCCTTAATGTAGAAAGAATTGTAAAGAATTAATACTTAGTTTACGATATAAGCGCTATTTGTATTCTCCAAAATACAGTGCCGTGAAAAGGTTTTTGCCCCCTTCCGGGGTTTTTTTGTTTTTTTTTTGGCATATTTGTCACACTTAAAATATTTAGATCATCAAACTAATTTTAATATTACACAAAGATAATGCAAGTAAATAAAAAATGCAGTTTTTAAATGATGATTTCATTTATTAAGGGAAAAAAGCTGTACAAACCTACCTGGCCCTACGTGAAAAATTCATTGCCCCCTCCTGTTAAATCATGAAATAACTGTGATTAACCACATTAATTAAGATATTTTTGATGGAATCTGAGAGCTGTCTGACCCTGCATAGGCAGCAACGCGTAACTGAAATGTTCCCAAGTCCAGAAACGTAGTAAGGAGATATGTAAAATAATCCATGTAACATCAGTGGTTCATCCCCAATTATACAAAGCTACGAGAATACTTTTTGTGCGCAAAAGAAAAAGAAAAAAATACTTTATTCAAAAATTTGTCTCCTCTGCATCACCCTGGTGCCATTTTGGAGACTATCCACTGAACGCAAACAACGTATGCTGTTCTGTGTCAGCTGCGCCACGCGGATACGCTGTTTCTGTTCAGATCAAATCACAACAACGCCAGACCTGTTGAATCAAGAAATCACTTAAATAGAACCTGTCTGACAAAGTAAAGCATGTTTAAAGAGCAACACATCATGCCGCGATCTAAAGAAATTCAAGAACAGATGAGAAACAAAATAGTTGACATGTATCAGTCTGGAAAGGGTTATAAAGCCATTTCTAAGGCTTTGGGCCTCCAGCGAACCACGTCAGAGCCATTATCCACAAATAGAGAAAACTTTGAACAGTGGTGAACCTTCCCAGGAGTGGCCGGCCTACCAAAATTACTCCAAGAGCGCAACGACGACTCATCCAGGAGGTCATAAAAGAACCCAGAACAACATCTAAAGAACTGCAGGCCTCACTTGCCTCGACATTTATTATTTATTGCTGTCATTTCAATATAATTACTGCAAAAGACACAAATATATAGGTCAAAATTAAATCCTATCCTAAAAAAGTCAGCAGAAAGATAAATGCTTAAATTCTAAATGTCTCTCTTTTGCTTTTGGTGTGTGAATACAAATGTAAAATCACTCTTTTTGTCTGTTAAGCTCTTGGTGTTTCTGTCTCATTTATTTAATTGGCGTCATTGTTCATGCTAATCAGTATGTGAATTAAGTGTGAATGTATCTGGACTTTCCCTGATCTCTCTGATAACGAGTGCTATAGTTGAACTGCTCACATACTTTGCACACTGTGTTTAAGCTGGTGATCTGAGTGCTTTGTCTTCAGCTGTAAGAACAGCCTCCTGAAATCTGTATAAAACTACAGTGATTCAGTGCTTTAGTCAGTCTGGATGACTGCAGCGCCACACAGTACCATCTCAATCAAGAACCTGCTGAAGACTCACTCTCCTGATTTTCACTTCTGAGTTTCCTACAGGTGTAATTGGATATTGGTCATATTGGTTTAGGCTAATTGAAGAAACTGAACAGGTACAGCTTTAATCTATGAACCATATTCCATTCAGCCAAAATTATATTCAAAACTAAATTCCTTATATAAAAGAACATTTAAATCAGTGAGATCAAACACAGACTATAATTATGTTCCATTTGGATTTATTTTTCTGTCTATTAATTATTCTGATCTTAAACGGGACAAACAAACAAAAAGAAAAACTCCTGCTGAAGCAACTTAAATCCACATGACACTACTATAAAGATGGCGTTTATTAAAGAGGAGAGTAAAGACATGAAGATTGAAGAAGCGTTCAGAGTCAAACAAGAAGATACTGAGGAACAAACAGGTTAGTTTTCATTCTCAAAGCTGAACTCACTCATTTGATACTTATTAAAATGTCCAGCTCTACAGAAATAGAGATATAAAATAATACAGAAGTAGCCTAGACAAAACAACTGTTTTGTGTAACATTAAACTCAGTATCTACTTTTGAGTAAAAAAAAAATGAAAACAATATCTAACAATAACTTGAGTTTTTATCTTGACATTTGTTGCCTCTCAAGTGATTTTTTCCCAACTCACCCCCAAAGTGCCATATAGTAACATATACATGCCTGAATGTAAATAGCACTAAATGTTCATTACAACAAGCAATAAATAAGTCATATGCCGATATCAAAAAACCAGCCTACTTATAAAATAAATCATTCTCCAGCTGACACCGCTTGGTTGAGTTACTGCATGCTGTTTATCTTTGTTCTTCGTTATCTTTGGTAAGTGAATAACTGTCATTGACCAGTAACTTCATAATGAACTGCAGCATAATAAAATAAAACTGTTTAAATATCAAAGACCTAAGTAGCACACTAAAGAAAACATCTGTTTGACTTTTACATCTTCAATCACCCTCATTTGTAAATGTATCATCAGAAGTTGATCTAGGATGAGTGTTTCTTCTCCTGAACTCACGTAGCAGCACACGTGTGGGATCTTCTTCACATTAAGACACACAACAGAAATGTGAGGAACAAACTCTAAATTGGACTTCCGAATCAGTAACAGATGGATTTGTACAGAGACTGAGACAAGCTCATAAATGATGCTGTTTGTTACTTACAGTTGCATGGGTGTCAAACTACCCTAGTGAAAAATAAATATGCTTGATTGTATTTAAAATATATTTATTTCATGATAAGTATACTAAAAATAGATTGACATGTCTATACTAACTGAAAATACATTCTAAATTGTAGTTATTTCATGCGTTCATCAAGCACAAACTTAGTGCACTACAAATTCATTTGTAAAATTCTTACATTTTTACAAATGCATTTGGGGAAGGATTAAATATATATATTCATCCTTAAGAAAGTACACTGGCTAGGTTCTTAATTCCATCTACTATGTTGTCATATCATTAAAGTAAACACGGCTGCTGTATGAGTTCTCACCTAAGACTATGGCACAAGAGACAATATCACATTCTGTCTATTGATATTTGTTTGTTCCTTCGCCCCTTAAAAGTGTCTTAAGTATTTTAATAATGTGATTTTAACATCGGCCTAGGCTACAGTATGTAAAGGGGTAAAGGGGGCTTGATAAGTCAGTCTCTCCTCACCTTATACTTTCATGAGCTCTGAAATTCACCAACAAACGGTTTTGCTGTACTTTTGCTAAACATCTGAACTTGGTATAGTGCACACTGTTGGGAATCTGTGTTGCAGATGTGGCACATTTTTAGTGTCTAGAAACTCATTGCAGCTAAAGACACAAGTCTCACCATGTATTTCAAATCTGAGAATGATGAAATTATTTTAAGATGATATTTATTTATTTTAAGATGAGACTTTCTTTTTGGGCAAACCAAAGAAAATGTGAGGTATGAATTGAAACATCCAGTATGTTTCTAACAGGTGCTGTAAGGGCAGAGTTTCCAAACGCAACTTTTGCCTACAGGCAGCACAAATGTAACAAACGACACTGCATCACTCATCGGCATGATTCTGTCATCGACATTACTAAATGGGCCCAGGAATACTTCCAGAAACCACTGTCGGTAAACACAATCCGCCGTGCCATCTGCAGATGCCAACTAAAGCTCTATCATGCAAAAAGG